CGAAAATTTCATTAAGGGTGTAAGTCAACTTTCACTGAAAAATTCAAGTCTCTCAAAATGCATCAAATTCTACATAATTTTGATCAGACGGAAAGAAAGAATTAAACTGTTTAGTTAAAAAATCCCATGCCTGAATATTTCCGATTCCTGTAGTGCAAAGATTCTTGAACTTATCGAGTTTATTCCTCCTTTTTTGGACGTTTTAATAATTCAGTTTCAATAGTTTCCAATCGCTGTTCTTGGAACTTCCACTTGATCCCAGGCTTTTCGCTTCAGAATTTACATCTGATCTGGCCTGCTTCATTCCATCTCTCGCTTCAGACTTGGAAAGGATCTTCAGCTGATTTTCGGCCATTGTCGTGGTCTTTTGCTCCACGATTTTACGTATCCAACTGTTTTCTCTGGACATAAAAGGCCTCAGGAAACACGCACATAATAGCCGAAATTTTTACTGCAGTTTAAAGAAAACTTTTCCATGCTGTCCGACCCTTATCAGGCCTCTGGCATTGATAAAGTTTCTGGAGCAGCAAAAAATGCTCGCCTGGCATTCACACACCCTCATCTTTGTACCGTTTATAACTCCGGTTGATTCCCTGGCCCAAGATTTCAGCCAGCGATTGGAGCTGAATGCTGATTTTCCACCGTTTTTGCCAATTTCAGTAATCAAGTGTAATTCGCGTTAACAAAGTTGATTATTCACTGTGTGTATGTAGATGTAGTGGAAGCTGCAACGCAAACGAGCGCCCTCAAGTGGAGCTGGAAGTTTGTTCGAGAAGAGTCTCGAAAAGTTGCCACTTTCTACAACTCTCTAGCACTTTGGAAGTTGTGCAAAGTTTACAACGGCCATGTGATAAACTGCGGGCCAAAGTTCTCTGCTCTAATGTAATTGGAAAAAATCGAAATCCCTCAAAAGCGAACTTTGGCGAAATTTGCTATTTATCTTCCTGGTAAATCCACCTGATGAACTTTGCAATAATGGGGCCAACAAACCGCAACGGTTTTTATTGCGTAAAGCACCGCACGTGATTCTTGGGGGAAAGTGGTTTAAACCCGAGCAAAAGCCCATTGAGTTAATGCGAATAAACAAAAAAAAAAGGCGAAAAACTCACGTTAGTGTTTCACATTTTTACGTTGTTTTTCTTCAACTTTGCAGGCCGTTGCGGACATGGCAGTCCATGCGAGCAGATTTGCTTCGAATTGCACGACGGCATGTACGAGTGCGATTGCCGGGATGGATTTCTTCTAAGAGCGGATGGCTACAGTTGTGAAGGTAACTCATTTTTATCATCCTAACGTGCCTAAACCCGGATAATGTAGATTCTATATCGACAGTGTTTTTTTTTAACAAATCAGCGATCTTCCATTGTCGAGTTTATTTTGGAAGAACGTTGCTAAACTCATGGGAAACTCGAATACATACATACATAGAAGGTAATGGAATTGATCCAATGGTCGTTTTCTAAACATAGAAAAATCAATAAGGGTTGAGGCCACAGCGAACTAAACCTGCAGTTAATGGACAACTTTGAATAGAGTTTTAAGTTGTTTTTTTGGCTCTAAAAACGCGAAAAACATATCACTTGCAGACAACTGTTTTCAAACACAGTCAGTGTCTTTTCAAATGGCGCTTGAATATGTTCTCAAGTTTAATGGAAACTGCAAAGCATTCTCTATAAAACCGACACAAACTTCTTCTTGAATACACGCCTTTCCAATCTGGTTGGGGAATTTTTCGTTGCATTTCAGTGCGATCAGTTCATAATCCCTTGCAATCTACGGCTGGATATTAAATGTGGCCGAAACGGCACTCGAGCTGTAATTTAAATTGCAGGCGTAATTTGATCAACAACTCCCGTCCTCCATTAAACTTCCATCACGCTGAAGCGAACCTTTTCATTCCCGTTTATGTCACGGAAGCAGGTTCAGATGACGCGAGCTATTTCTGATGCTTCCACGGGATTTCATCAAGCAAATTGCCAAGAGTATTACACTGGAAATGCTTCATGATTTTGTCAAAAAATTGTTGCATTTTTACACTAGTTTTTCGGCTGCAAATTGTTCCAAAGTATTGCTCTAAATTTGAACGTTTGGCCGTTCTTGCACCGCCTTCTCTTAAGAGTAATTTCTCGTAGTTCCGTCTAGATTTCGGAACAACTTCAACTTTTAAAGTGGCCCAAAGAATCTTCACGTAAGATTTTCGGTGAATTTTAGTCGCACTATGCCAGAGGTTTAATGTTTATTGCTTCCGAAGTCTTGCTAACATTTGAGCGATTTGACCATTTTTGCACCTCCTTCTGTTACTAATTATTTTGCAAAGTCCAGTATCGATAATAGGGTGTTTTTCCTTTTTTTTAATGCTGATATATAGAAAGTAGTTATGGCAAACATTACACTGATATAATTTTTTTTGCAAAAAAAGTCTCCATAAACGCTTGAAAGCGAATTTAAATTCAAATCAGACATTTTCCCCCAAAATCGCCTAATCCGTATCGTCGGTTGCCTATCCCGACTATGACGTAGCAGGTCATATCAACAAAGTGTCTTGTCTTTATTTTGTTTTTTCGCAGCTTTGTTTTATTATTTAAGTTATTGTGCTTATCATTAGTTTATTGATTATTATTATCTTGCATAATGGATAATAGTGACATGCATGGATCACAAAATAAGTGGTGTTTTGTGCCAGGATGCAAGAATACCTCAATAACTGATCGAAACAAACTCTTCCCAACCGTTCCCCATGATTATGCACGTAAAGTTTTATGGTTCAAAGCAGTTAGACGTGATGTTCCTAAATCAAAATCAATGTTTTTTTGTTGCAAGGATCATTTTAATAAAAGTACGAACAAAAAGCTGATGATGAGGCAGACAGAATATGCCTTCGACCGTACTCTGTGGTCTGGGCAAACTAATACTAACTAAACTAATAACGAATTGGCGGATTTTTACTTACGCTGCTGCTCTGACACCCTTAAATTCGGCTGAATTAAAGCGTTCGTCGTAAAACCGTAAAAATATGTACACATGGTAAATGGTTTGTTGACGCTTTAAGGAAGCTCCTTCTGAAGCGATTTTTCAGTTTAACACAAACTATAAATTATTTAAAGGCACAAAACAATTAATGAAACACAACCACACAACTAAACACTATGCACAGAACGTAAACAATCCGCCATTTATATGACCAGATACGTCACAACCAGTAGGACTGCGTTTTAGAGATTCATAAACAATTTGAATTTCAGCTGAATTTGTCTATCTAGAAACACCCCTAATATCTTGGCCAATGACCTAAAGTGATGATTTAGCACACATGTGCTGTAAGCAAGGGCTCGATTCACTAAATCAATCAATCAATCCCATTGGGATTCAATTAAATGTGGATGGCCTATTGATCGCAAATGGATGGCAATTTGCCAATTGGACGCAAATTAATTGATTGTTGCTTATTCGTACAGGCCTCTGAACTGAATTAGCCATTCTCAAGAGGAAACTTCCTGCGCCCGTCCAATCATGCATAGTGTTCCAATTGCGTTTTCCTTGTGCGACCTTTTTCGCTAAATTCCCGACGAAAACCTGTGTTGTAGCCGAAATTTCAACTCCAACAAGTTGATAGGAAAAGTTTGAAATATCGATTTTGCTAATGGACCTCGCGACGCTAATTAATTACTCTTTAGAAATGGTTGCAGGCCGATGTGGCCGGTTAATTCAAAGAGCGCCCGCCGCCCACCAAATTAATTAAATCGCAAAAATTAAAGCTGATTAAAGTGGGGAAGCGCTGAAAGAAAACGACGAAACCCCAGAGAAATATTAGCTCAACGCGGGCCTTAATTTTGGGTTTATACTGAGCATTTGCTGAAGGCGATCCGTCTAATAGCGGTTTCTCGCTGTTGCTGTTGCAGAACTGAACTCTTCACTATCGACCCAGTCAACCGAAGACCTAAAACTGGACCTAATCTACATAAAAGAAGTGGAAATTGATGCAGAGGAAATTCCATTTGCGAATGCCAGCGCCGATTCGAACGATATTCCCCAAAGCTACACGAACTGGAGCATGCCAGCTGCAGCTTCAGGTAAGCTAAATAATGGATGTCATTTCAATGCTGACAACCCGCATATTGGTAAACCTCTGGGCGTTTGCATTAGACAAAAGCAAGTAGTTGCATGCAACAAAACAGGCACGTAGAGCGGTTAGAGAGGGATTGGAAATTTCGGCTCAAGTTTTCCAAACAGTTTTTGTCCCAACATTTTTAAATGCCAGAATTTCCCTCTTTAACTCTCGAACTCTTACGGACTAGTAAAGAGTGCTCTTTGTTCACAGTAAAGAACAAACGAATTCTTAACACAGTACAGAAGAGATGGTGAAAAATACCCTCCTCGTAGAGAGTCACCCTGTATATTTATTGCAAATTATTTTTGACCTCTCATCTAAACCTTTTACAACTATCGGGTGATTTGAGTTAAATCGGACTATGAAGGCTTTCATGGCCGGTCAAATCACATATAGAAATGATCTTCATGCGAATTTCTTCCTGACGTTTCGTCCACAACTGCGCTGGACATTATCAAAGGCGATGAGGCAGTGGGCGAAGTGATCTCCCGTGCTTTCCGACTAAG